ACTCCAGAGTGTTGTTCAGCATGGGGGTGAGTAGAAAATGAAGGCTAATCATGTTTTGGGTGGACTATTCCTTTAATATGCACTTGAAAGAAGACAATGCAATTGTTATTAATTTAACTTATTTTAAATGTAAATCCTCTCGTTTCATTGGCTAAGTGTCTCACTTACCTCCTAAATTCAAGGAAAAAAATCAGTTTAAAAAAAAAAAAGTTATTGAGATTTGTATTTTTTTTGCACATTTAGATGTTTCCTAATCCTCCATCTTAGATGCGTAATAACCTTTAGAAATAAGAGGCCAGGCTGAGCGCGTGGCTACATGTGATGCTATGTTAGCCAGCTAACAGCTCTGAGTCATGAACTCTGCTCCCATCTCTTACCGGACTCCATCCTTGGAGTTCTTGGAGTATCTGTACTGGGGCGGGGTGGAAGGTGAGGGCGGGGCGGCCCTGGGCGGCACGACGTTCGGCCCCCGCCCCTCCCACGACGAAGCAGAAGGGGCGTTGATCCCGTGTGACGGGGAGTGGGCGTGGTAGGGTCTCTGGAGCTGGGGGGCCGGCGTGGGAGAGCGGAGCTTTCCGTAGAGCTTGGCCAGAGGAGCGTGTCTCCGCTCGCAGTGCTTCTCAAAGGCCTGAGGCTTCACCACTTGGCCACAATGGCTGCACACCACCAAGTAGAAGTCGTCGTGGCCGGGGTAAAGGCCGAAGATAGACATGTCTGCCATAAGAGGAAAAGGTGCAGAAATACTGCGTTAGAAATCCCTTCATTTTCTCTCTCTTATTGGATCATAGGGAGGGCTGGGATATTTATCGCATCAACTTCATTTAGCAAAACAATTTTCAAAGCGGAACTTGGTCCCATTCATTCACCAGGATTAAGGCACTAAACGTCTCACTGGAGCCTTTAAAGTGTCCGTTATACATTTAAAGTTGGTTTGTCGCCACAAAGAAGGGCAGAGCCGTTTGCAGCTAGCGCACAGCTACATGCAAGGTGCCAGAAGGAAGAACTTTTTCATGGAAAAGGAGAAAATCCTGCAACAATAACCTCTGGATAAGCAAGCTTTCAAGGTCTCGAAAAATCTGAAACCTTTGAGTGAAACATACCGGGTTCTGCTTAGTGCAAAGGCAATAAAATGCTATTTATAAACTTGGTTGAAAATACTCGCAATTTAAAATGTTTTTTTGCCAAATGGTCCAGCTCTGATTATAGCTTTAAGCTCCCGTGTTCATGGCGCTTTTTTTTTTCTGAGGATGTGTGGCATTAATTAGTGCCGTTAAACAGTAGTGAGGTGAAAACAAACCAACAGAACAGCGAATGCTCATGGTTTGGTCATCATCGCTCTCCAGCAGAAACTTGGAGGCCATGTTTCCTCAGAAGTCTTAAAGCAATGAGAAAATTCAGCGTTTTTAAATCATCACATTAAAAATTCTTCTTAATTGAGCTCCGATTTAGAGAAGGCCATCGTTTATTCTCTCAGCTGCAGACAGGGCCGCCTCCAGGATTGTTCCATGGGGGGGGAGGCACCCTTGGCCGCCCCCTGGTGGCACCACTGGCTGTAGAACCAACTAAAGGACTGAAAGCTCTACATCTAGTCCAGATCACAGCTTCTTGTCTTTTAATCAACACTTCTGTACATTTTAAACCTTAAATCACCCAGCTTTGGTTTGGGGAGTGGTGTCCTGGTGGTTAGAGCATAGTGCTTTGAATACTGAGGTTGTGAGTTCAAAACCCACTCCCACAGATGGCCACTCAAGGGCCACCTCCCAAGGCGCCCCACGATGGCAGCCCACTGTCCCTAAGCGGATGGGTTAAAGGCAGAGGTATATTTCTCCAATCTGAGATCAATAAAGTTCAATTATTTTATTATTATTAGAAAGAGGGGCTGATTTTCTCAGGTTCTCGCATTTTCAAAACGTTGAAATCTTTCCTTTACAATCAGAGACTCTTCAACTACGTACGACACAAAGTCAATGGTTTCCATTGTATTTGATCACCTAGCAACCAGTAGGGGTGTGCAAAATAATCGTCATGATGATGCATCGCGATTCTAATTTTCATGATCTACTGCATCGATTCTTGACACCAAGT